CTCATGCGGACTTGCGAACTGTAAAAATACTCATCTTGTAACTACATGCAATGTGATTGTGTATAAGTGAATATATGTTAAAATATATATCATCCTAGAATTAAATATAAATGTTAATATTACCGAGTCAGATTTTGTTAACATTCAACGTGCAATCAAAAATGGCATCCATCAACAACTGCCATACCTCCAATGATTTTTAGTCCAGTTTACATGACTGCGTGCTTAATTCAAACGCGCCGTCCAGCGGCGGGAGGTAAGCGGGACGCCTAGCATACGTACCTTTTTCAGGCAGCCTTCTGCATACTCTTGTGCCTGATGCTGCTCTTCCTGTAGCAGAAATAAGCGCGAATCTAAGCTATGATGGAGTTGCAGTCCTGTTACGACGTGCACTAAATCGCAGATGCGGTCATCTGCACAATTGGTAAATCTTGTCTTCGAGAAGCTGAACCAACAGTTTGAAATTGGTAGCGCAACCAGCTTACCAAGGAAAAGTCAACATTTAGCCATTTTGCAATATCGGTCTGCCATTGAGTTGCTTCTAATCGGTCTAGAGATCTGTAACGCAGTTCTGCTGCCAAATGTTGCCTCAAACTCATTTTTACACTTCGGCTATATCGAAATTGTTTAATATAACAAAGAGTTCCTCCTGAACAGGTGGTTTCAAGCTGCATCGTATTTAGTAAAGCGATAGCTCTTCTGAGTAACGCTATTGGATGCAACTTGCTTTTATTCGTAACATATCCAAATTTCAAGAATTTCGGAATACTTTTATTTCAGTTTGTTGCTTAACGTTATATGTTTATCTTTGTTTTTCGAGAAAGCTCTTTGCACATGATTCATCACATTCCTGCAATGTTTGAACTAATTTTATGCTATTTTCCATTTCGTTAATGTCTAACAAGTCAATAATTAACTGAAGCCTTTGAAGCTTAATTGTTACTAAATTACATTATGTATTACAATATGTAAATAAAAGTACAAATATATAAATTTTAGTCCTGACTGGAAATGAAATCATACAGCTAAATCAATTTACGTATTGGCATCGATACAACAAAGAAGCGTTCAAGTTGAAACTAGCTGGTGTGGTAGACCTGGTTAGATTATTTAGAATGGCAAAACACGCAAAGAGTATCTGCTTAAGGGAAAAGATGCATTGTAGATTTTCTTAGGGAAACTGGCTCGTATTCACGTTACACATGTAAAAAACACGAAAACTTTCCTTACAGCCATGCCTGTTCATCTAGGTTTAAATTCAGGACAAACTACCTGTGTGTAATAGTCTTTAACCGCTCGACCATCGGTGGAGCGCTAATTGGTAGAAAGGGTATTTTTAAAACGCATGCTATTGCTTCTATTTCTACTGATGCAAGAAATATTGTGATGGCGGTGGGGAAAGCGTGAAAATATTACAGAAGGAGCAAAAAATCACGTCATAATTTATTAAGTAATGTGAGAATTAATTTACTTTCTGAAATTCAAACGGTAAAAAAATGGAAATGATTAACCTAATAAATGAATAAATACAAAATAAAATAAATCAAAAATAAGATAATCAGACTTTAATTGGATAGTATTGAAAAATAGTATTTTGCAGTTATAAGTTCGACCGTCTCAAGCGCAACCCTGGTTGGCATTCTGCCAAAACACGTAGACTCGTCCAAAAAGGGACGACGTCTGAGACGTCAAAGGTCTTCTCTTCTCCGGAAAGAGGTATGCTGGAGGGAAAGAAAGTCCCCATCCTTCCACCCTATTTTGAGAATAATTCGGTTCGAATGGCGCATGCTTGTTTGCGCTCATGGTCGCAGATGAGGTGGTCGTACTAAGCAAAATCTATAATGTAAAAGCTATTGCAATGTTTTTTCTCCATGTTATCTAAGATGTATGCTCCATTTTTAACTGCATTGTTCATTTATAATTTTTCAGGAAAATTAAATACACTTTTGTTTTCTATTATTTTATTTAGATACTTTATGTGAATAAACTGGTATACGATACTTCATTATTTTTCTTTAAGACTCTGAAAACCTTGAATAGGGGGATTTCATTGAACGAATCGATGACTGTCATCATTGATAGTCATCTCCGTATGATGACCATCTCCACAAACAAACAAAATTGTCTCAGTGGTGGTTGGCGTTCTTAAAGAGGGATCACCATACTTTAAAAACTGGGAAACAGATCTTATGTGTAAAGAAAATAATAATAATAATAATAATTTAAAAAAATAAAAATTATAAATTTGTACATTATTGTAAAATAAAAAATTATAAATTTTATTTTATAATTAAGAAATGCTCATTGCTTATTAAATAATTCTTCAACGTAGTCTGCCAGTTTGATTTTCAGATTTTATTAATCATTGCCTTTTATAAAATAGTTTTGACTTTTAGGAGTATCTTAGTTTTTAGAGGTTTGTAGATTTCCTCACTTTTATTCAGCTAAATTAAACGTCGAGGAACCTAGCGAATTATCGCTTAGTTCAAAATAACAGGAATCGTAAACTCAGGAAGGGTTAATTACCCTTTATTCACTCAAAATAAGATAAACAGTTGGCCCCTTTCTTCGGGCTTACATTAAAGCCTCCACTTGGGCTTAAACTCAAAAATAAGAAATAAGTTGACCCTTAGTTTGAAACTAGCGAACTATCAAAAAGGCACGAGCATAACAGCAGTTAGAGAGACTTAGCACAAAGGCGAACGCGCTGTCAGGCTTTTTCTCTCAAAGTAAGTTGAACCTTCTCTTAATACTACTACTTACTCATTTGCATTCAACGCGATTCTAAAAATTCGTTCTGGTAGGGAGTTGCAAGTTGAAACGAGGAAAGAGAGGGAAAAATCAACTAAATTAAAGTAACTGTTATAAAATTAAAATATACCTTACAGGTTATTGAAACATCTTGTTAAATTAAAAATTGATTTGTTACACGTTACCAGCTATGCATGTAGGAAGTGAACTTATTGCTTATTTTTTATGCAGTTTAGGGGTACAATAAATCATTTAAAGACTATTGTTTCATTGCCCCTGAATTGACCCCCTGTGTTAAAATACAGTTAGTCTGACATAGGAAAAAAATAATGATTTAGAAATGATTCAATGCTATTTCTTTATTATAAAAATTAGCACTAAATCATTTCTGCTGTTGCATAAGTATTTGAAAATTAATTCTTTAATAAATTTATTACATAAAATATTTTAATTTTATAGCAAAATTAGACATTTTAGAGGTCGGTTTACACACACCTAATTCTCTTAGTCAGTCTAAGGAATGGTTATTTTACAGGTGGTAGCCAAATCTTAGAATTTCATGGACCACTAAATGTATAATTTTATATTTGGAGGAACATTAATATAAATTTAGAAAACAAAAAGGCCAATACATTTACACAATAATAATCAAAAACTTTCATTTTGTTAATGCGAAATGCACCCATTAAAAGTAACAAAGTTATAGAGTAATTATTTAAGCAAAACCGCAAAATTTAAGTTTATTTAAGTATTACACATTTTTAGCGTGATATTTGTTCCTGTTTATTTGAAATCAGTTTGTGGATCTTTGGTTTAAATGACGTTTCTGTAAGACGGCAAGTCAAGACCTGTACCGAATTTTAATTGCTGTTACAGTTGAAAATGCGTTTTCGCACAAGTATATTCTTGAAAATGAATTAAAATGTTCACTAATTTTCCCTCAGTTATGGGAATTCATTTTTTATAGACAGCCAAAAATGAGGTCTTCACAAAGATGAGTGGAATTTAGTTTTTAAACTGTCATCACAAGACAGATCAGCGATATACAATAAGATATGTCATAGATATACAGACAAAGAGGCTTTGGAGCAATAAATTTATATTTGTTTACTGGTAGGAAAAAATAAAACTACAGTGTGCCTAAAATAAACATAGATATCTAGTGTTGCAAAAATTACCAATGGGCCTATTTCAGTTTAGTTTAGCTTTAGGATAAGGCGGGCCACTTAAACAAAGCGTTCCCCCAAATCATCAAATTTGACAGTTTTGCACTTTTGTACATGTAAATATTACTTTTCGTACTACACATATCTTGAAATAGATGTTACAATTATGAAATGGGAAGTAAATATTAGAAGAAGTAAAATAAGTGCTATCGGTCAGATAAAGGAAACCGGTCGCCTACAACTGGCCTAAGAGTTTCCATGAATGGACCGACAGTTATTCTATTTATTAATGCAGTATCACCTTAATACTAGTTCAATGAAATGTTTAAAACTATTTTGAGCAGAACTGAGCCTAATTTTGAGCATAATACATTATTCTTATTAGAAGCCCACACATACCACAGAGAATACTGTGAAACATATTAATAGCAAAAATTGAAATTTACGATTACGATTGAAATTAACAAAATTACGATTTTTTTATAAAAGTTCAAATTTCGTTAAAAGTTGTCATAGGTTAGCACATTCTTTTAGAAAATTATAATAATTTCAAGAGGAAAGACACAGGGTCTCTCTTACTCAAGGAGCAAAAAATGATCTGTTAGTCGATAGGCTTGTTACCCGTTGGTAAGGTTGACGCTTCCTTAATTTTAGTTATGTTATTGACAAGCTTCTCTTCCTTGTAGTTTGTAAACATTTATATCTTTTCTTCTAGATATAAGCATTAGTTTTTATTAACTTCTAGGTCGTCAGTTTTATCTTTGAACACTCTTGATTCGCTTACAATATTCTCTAATGGGTGTCAAATTATTAGTTGTTGGAATATTATTTTAATTTTCTACATTTCCCGTCTTCCTTAATTTTATTTAAACAGATTTGTATATTATGAAAATGCAGAGTAATTTCAATTAGCTCATATCTTCAGAAATCATACATTTCAAAATAAAAATTAATAATAGAGAATCCACGATTTTTACCACAATCTCTTTTTTTATATACTGAAGAAATGCAAAAATAAAAATGTGGAATACAGTTGCACTTACAAGTAATGATGTACTGATAGTAGAAGTAAATAATTTTTACCTAAGGCAAACTTCTTATTCAGCATGATCCTAACCATTTGACAATTTTTCAAAACGTAAATAGGAGAGATTATGAGCTGTCATATATATGTAATGAAATGATAAAATTTAAAGCGAGAAATGTTTAAGGGAAACTCCCTAATAACAAATGTCAAATATTCGTTATCAATCCAACGCCAACGTAAAGCTGATAACGTGCTTCGATAAATAACATGAAACAATACGGATAATTTTTTAAAATAAAATCATGGCATTTTATGCTTGTACAGTTAATGCAATCAACCAACATAAGGATTCATAACAGGTTCTTGTATTTTGTGATAATTTTTTGAAAAATCTACGAACTCATTTGGAAACTAAATAACTTTAGAAATATTCGTTAAATTTTCAATAAAGATAATAAATCTATTTAATTATATTGATGATTTTTTGAGAAAAAAATTATAATCAGACGTCTCATAAATCATATATTTCTTTAATAAAAGGTAGGGATAGATTAAGCTAGCCGAGGGTCAATATAGGTAAAATCTGAGGTGCCCTAAGGAAATGTTTACATAACTTGATAAAATTAATTTTCCAAAAAGAAGCACTTTTTAGTCTTAGAACTTTTCACAAAATTACTCGTACAGCTCTTCTTAGTATGACAGACCCCAATCAGTAGTTACCGCTTCAAACTATACTCGTGTGCAAAATTAAGAGAATTTTCAAACTTTACGAAACATATTGAACCAAAGGTACTTATTATGTCGAAGTATTATTCAAGTATTCAGTCGAATATATAAGCGTACACAAAGCGCACGGGGGTGGGGAGTTCGATGATTTGTGTGCTCGTACTTCTTCGTGATATTCACCATATTTCTCTCAAAAGTTGGGTAAATATTATAAAGTGTTAGGTAAAATGAATAGCCGAACATATGGATGACGGAATGATATGGAGAATTATGAGTATCGGCAGATCGATCACAAGCGTAGATGGCTATAGAGCTCAATGTAACGCCCAGTGTTGTGTACATTTTGTGAAAGCAGTTTCAGAACATTGGACCCATACCGAGGAGATCTGCACAAAGTCGACCAAGATCCACAATGACGAATGAGGATCGTTATTTGGCACTTTCAACGCGGCGACGCGACACTGCTACATTTCCACAGCTCTCACTGCATGCTGCCACTGGAACCAGAATTTCATGGTTTACAGTTACTCGAAGGATTCTTGAGATAGGGCCTGCATGCTAGAAGACGCGCTATTTGCGTTCCGTTTACTGTTGCTCAGAAGAAAGAGCGTTTGGTATATGGTGCAGACAATATGCGCCTTGGAATAGACTTCAGTGGAACACTGTGCGTTTCAGAAATGAGTCGACATTCAGCCTGGGCACTGATTCTCGATGCACCTGTATCAACCCGATACCATCTCTCCATCATCAGGGAAAAGGATCATTACGGTGATAAAGGCGCAATGGTTTAGCGGCATATTATGTCGGATCACCGCACACCCCTGCATGTGTTTGACAAAGATACTTGACTAATTTGAAGTATACGGAGGAGATTTTAGAACGCTATGTCTGACGTTTCAAGGGCAAGGGCTCAGTTGGTCCTGAGTTCTTGTTAATGGACGATAACGCTTGTTCCACAGAGGTCTCAAGCTGGTCGACGATTATCTGGAAAGTCAGGATCTTCACCGCATAGATTGGACAGCCATATCTTCTGATCTGAACACTATAGAACATGTCTGGAACGCTCTTGGGAGGCAATTTCATCTTGCCATCCCTTCGACAATCATCCCGGAATGGGATTAACTTCCAAAGGGACTCCTCAGTTACCTCCTGTCCAGTATGCAGTCACGCTAGGGATCTGTCTGGCTGTTAAGAGTTAAGTATTATGACAACTTCATAATATGGATTGTGAACATCCGTGCACTATGAGCTTTACTGATAATCACGTTTGCATAAAATGACCCTTGAATGGTACATCTCTTTTGTGTTATAAATGTTTATTGATACCAAATTTCATTAAAATCTGTCCATTAGTTTTTCAGAGATTCAACATAATGTGCAAATACTCTTAGTTTTCACACGAGTGCGCTAAGAACGATAAACGCAAGATAACAGAAAGCCTCAAACGCGTAAGCTTGCCCAGTGATCTCACATTACTATCAATTCTCTGAGCTAAACTCTTAACTCAGCTTTGATCTAACTGAAAGCTGATGTTGTGTCTGACTTATATAGTTTCCCACCTCCGCTGAGAAATTTCCAGTACCTTCGGTTTCTCGAAATTGCTGGAAGGCATGCACACTTACAGTTACCTAAGAGATAAGGATAGGATTAGACGTACAGGGATCGGAGTAGTTACAGTTATCTAAGAGATAAGGATAGGATTAGACGGACAGGGATCGGAGTAGTTACAGTTACATATGTGTAAGACGAAAATGTCACCAAACGATAATTAAGTTATGCGACTCTTGGCGATTTCTTATAAAATTTGGCGACAAAAATTAGTCTCCAAAACTATCGTTAGCTTGACGCCAAACTGCAAGATAGCCATTTACCTTAACGTTAAATGGACTTAATCTTGTAATCCTATTTTTCTGGGATGCTTCGCATTTCTGAGGCCTTTCACATAACATTATAAAAGAGATACTACAATTTAAATATAATTTCACTGAGATTATTTATATAGATTCAAAACTCGTGACAATATATTGCAGCAAATCTTACATGACATGAAAGATATATAATAATATACATTTAAATCCATATAATGGCAATTAAATATAGCTGAAAGAATTTGAGAGTGGATTAGAAATATTAATGAAATGCTCAAATGGCAATGATTTTGTGCTACTAGATTTTCAAAGAAAAGGAAAGTTATTTATTATTCGATTCGAGTAAAAGAACAATTCAAAATCTTTTCATATATTGTCAGTAAAATTACAACAGAAATGTATGAAAGATGTGAAATGTATGAATGGTAAGGAAAATATTTCTTAATTAATGTTTTCATTATTTTTAGAGTTTTTTTTTAGTATAAATGTATTCTTAGAATAATATTAATTGATTTTTTAAAATTACAGATTTGTTCATAGTTATATTTGATAACTTTTATGCAGCTTTAAAAGGTTACGATTCAAGTTGAGAAAATATTTACAGATCTAAAATCTTCCAATTGTGATTAATAAATAAAAAACCACAATTGCTATTGTTTATTTAAAGCACATTGCTGGCCATTAAAATTGCAACGCCAGGAAGGAATGATCTGACGAACGTCAAATTCACATGAAAGCAAGAAGAGTTTGGGATATGCAAATGATTAGTATTTCGGCGCATTTAGATGACGCAACAGGGAGAAACGACATTTGAAGCAATGCCATAGAAGAAAAGTTTTAGTGGATTTCTCATTCGGAAGGCGCTTTGTAAGGAATGAGTTTGCTCAGAATTTCCTGTTATATCTCTAAGAAGAGGACATGCTTACTAGCAAATGTCGGAATTGGATAGAGGCAGGATCGAAATTGAATGGATGCCTGTCGAAAGTGTGGATTATCGTTCCGTGATATCGCCCATCGCACTGGTCAACATCCAAAAACTGGTCATACGAATATGTAATCAATGGCCATACTGAATGGCTGAGGGTCATACTGAACAGCAAGCAAGATCTCAACGTCCTCCCATGACTAAAGCCCGAGAGGACAGATATATTGAGCGATCAGTCCTGCAAAACCGTACAACCACATCACGGACCATTAGTCAGGAAATAGACATATTTGCAGCCCGCCCAGTATTTGCTCGTACGCTGCGTCGAAGTTTGTAGTAACGTGGACTATCAGTAAAGCGACCATTACTTCGGCTTCACTTGACAATGCAAAACAGACTCTGGTGCGGCGAAAGGCAAAGCTGGATACAGGAGTGGCATAATGTCGTCTTTTCAGATGAATCCCGGTTCAGCGTGCAGGGTTCTGATGGCCGTATACGTGTCTGGAGGCTCCAAGGAGACAGCATGTCGCCTGCTTGCATTCGATATTGGTATAGGGGTCCTTCACATGGTGTGATGGTTTTGGCAACCATTGGGTACACGACACGCACATCTCTAGTTCAGATCGACGGTAATTTGAACTCAGATCGGTACATTTCTGACATCTTACGGCCAGTGGTTGTGCCCTATTTTCGAGGCCCCGAAACGCCATATTCCAACAAGATAATGCAAGACCACATGCTTCACGTCGTGTTCTGACTTCTTCGATACACAAGGTATTCGACTGCCGCCCTGGCCTGCACAGTCTCCAGATCTGTCACCCATTAAAAACCCTCTAAATCTGTCCCCAATTGTTGAGAGACTGGCCCACCACCTCGTTTTACCTAATACGGTTGATAAAGACTTGGAGCAGCAGGGAACGTGTTGCCTGTTTCTGTCATCCAAGCCCAGTTCAACTCCATGTCTAATTGTGTAAGGGTTGTTTTAACAGCCAGGAGTGGCAGCTTTGTTGTGTTGATGATGTTAAAAAAGTTTAAGTTAATTATATTTTTATTTTGGAAAAAATCACAATCAATTTAATTCATTGGATCATTAATTTAATGTATTAATATTATGTTATCTAAATTTTGAAAATTTGGGGAAAAAAAACAGTGCTTTAATAGTATTTTTCCTTTTATTTAATTTAACCGGGAAAGTTTCGTATTTCTGTGAAAGATTCAGGAAACAACAGTAATTCTGCTACGTCAGTCCTTTCGAACATTCTAGAAAGAAAATTCTTTGTTTCCGTTTGCTAGGACAGCGGCCGAGCGGTAAAGTCGCTGAACACTGGTAGTTCGGTCCGAGGTTCGAATCCCGCGAACGGGCTGGCTGCATGGGCGTTTTCGTGGTTTTCCCCATGTGTAACATGTATACGAGCCAGTTTCCCTTAGAAAGTCCTCCACGAAGGCATCCCTCCTCTTAGACAGATAGCCCTAGTGTGCGTTGCCATAATTAAATACACCAAACACCGTTTGCTAGGGGAACAGCAGAACGTGACGAGGGTCGAGGATTAATGTTTTTCTTACGAGTAGAGGTCAACAGGTTTGGCGAAAGTGGGGGTCCATTTTGGCTCCGGGTCTTGACTGGCTGCGCTTGCGCAGATAGGCCGTTTTGTGCATTTGGGCAAAAAAGTG